GGCTGATGCTTTTTGTGTTTTGTAATCAGAATTTTTGTTTTGGGTGTTAAAGATGGATCCAGATGCAGTCAAGTCGACCCTCTCGAATCTGGCATTCGGAAATGTATTGGCAGCAGCTGCTAGAGATTATAAGAAAGTAAATAAATTTATATTTCGAGTATTGGTTTAACCCATCAAAATGCGATTTCGTAGTTGCTATATCTTCGTTTTCGTGTTTATGACCATATGTNCTTGGTGGGTTTTGATCTGTGTTATGTGTAGATCATGTAGAAAGAATTGTTGAAATGATTTATCTTTGTTGTTATGTCTGTTAAAGTTGCACACTTTAGGAGTTTCTGATGTCTGTTAAAGTTGCACACTTTAGGAGTTTCTGATGTTTTTGAGGTGGGTAGGTTACACGGTTCTGTAGATAAATTATGAGGACTTTGTATGTTTCTGAAGATTTTCTTATACGGATTTGTAGGAAGTTCTTGCAAATGAGAAGGCGCAATCGTCAAATCCTGTCAATGAGGAGGTTGATCTTGATGAACTAATGGATGTAAGTGCAAGGTTTCTTTTTGGACTGTTTATCTTATTTCGATATTGTTTGAGATTTTGGTGCTTCTGTATCTAACGGTTAGACTTACTTGCTCATGTTCTGTAGGATCCAGAGCTGGAAAAACTGCACGCGGATAGGATTGCAGCACTTAAGGTTATAACTTTGGCATCGTATTGTGCATTATCTATTTGGTGATGGAGTTTGCTTAATAATTTTTTACTTTTATTGGTATGAAGTTATGAACTAAACCGCCAAGATTTTATCTGGACAGAGAGAAGTCGAGAAGAGAGAAGCGTTCAAAAGGCAAGGACATGGTGAATTTCGAGAGGTAAGCGAGGGAGATTTCTTGGGCGAAGTCACAAGGAGTGAGAAAGTGATATGTCATTTCTACCATAAGGAGTTTTACCGGTGCAAGTAAGATCCCTCTTAAGCTTTTTTTTTGTTCGTCTTTTGATATGCGAGCTCATAGCCTAACCTAAGCTCTGCATCATTGTAGGATTATGGACAAACATCTAAAGACTCTTGCTCCTAGACATGTCGACACAAAGTTTATTAAAGTGGACGCATTGGCCAGTGAACTGATAGAAAACACTATGTTTTCCTGGTTGTAGATCTGTTCTGTGAATCTAATGCTTAGCTGACATAAATGCAGAATGCTCCTTTCTTTGTCACGAAGCTTGCAATAAAGATGCTGCCTTGCGTTTTGCTTTTCAGGTTTCATCTCTTTCGACTCATTCTTACATACATGGTTTTCTGTTTGTTGTATACTGATAAAATATGGTTTTCTTTATCGTTCTCAGCAAGGGAATCACGATAGATAGGTTAGTTGGGTTCCAGGATCTGGGCACAAAGGACGATTTCACCACGACTAAACTGGAGAACGTTCTGGTTAAGAAAGGTATGAAGAATCTCACATCCACCTTTTCAGTAATTACAGCTCAGTTGGAGAATTGTTGCTTAAAATTTTCAAATCTTTAAACAGGAATGCTCAGC